TGTCATAACTCTCTGAATACATGGCTCTGGTGTATACAGACAGGAGCCATCTTAAAAAATAGTCTCGATAAGTCGATCCCCGAACGCCGTTCATACAGTTCAGAAGTTCGCTGAACTTCATACAGCTCAGATCACTCAGCACGTCGTTCGGGGATCGACTTATCGAGACTATTTTTTAAGATGGCTCCTGCCTGTATACGCGAAGTGAACTGTCTTCATAAAGTATCTTCTTATTAAACGGTCTGTACACTTACAAAGTTCTCAATGCTTCGTTTTGCATGTATGGAGCCTCATTATGTTACTGCGTTAGTGTGGGGCTATTTTGAGCCTTATTAGTGGTATAAACCAGCGATTTCTTTTACTTAGTCAATGCCCCCAGTACTAGCATACGCTAAACAGTTTTTAGAGATAAAACTCTTTACAATCGATTATCATGAAAACAAATCTCAGAGAACGGTTGACTATGTACCGATGTTTTATTAGACCAAAGGTTCATTGTTCGCCGGAGTTCTCCTTTAAATTAGTTACGTGCCACGAGCACTAACAGAGAGCGTCCTGTTAAAAGGAACGCCCGGAGTCCCGTCTCCTGCTCCCGTAATGACTTCACGACTCAGAAGGTATTCAGTATGAAAAACTGGGTTTATTCATGTACGTGGGGGTGTTTTTTTTCTTGTAGTAAAGATGATCAAAGGTTACAATCAGAGAGTTTTCGTGATTGGCCACAAAACAATAAACAAAACAGGTCCCCTGACAATTCTTACCTCCCTACTAGCCAATAAACAGGAAAAAAAAGTTAAACAAAAATAAAGGGCCTTTGTCCTCTCAAGTGGTCTTAGCCCGGAAATGGTTTACATTTACCTTCCTATACCGCTAACAATTACCTTGCTGCACACAAGCAGCTTACACTAAGTTTCACCAACAACACTACACAGCCAGATGGCTATAACACGTATAATTTAACTCTATCGAAAACACACCACGACACTGTGAAGCAGGAGAGGGAACTCGAGGAACGACAGCTTCCACGCAGCTTTTATCCATCAGACGGGTCCACCACCAGCCCCGCCCTCCAACTGCTGCACCTGTACACACTTAATTAGGGGAAAGGAGAGAGAGCATCTACCAAAGAAACAAGCACTCACACACTCACTTGTTCAACCTTTTTAAAGCAGCGCTCAGTAAGACTGGGAACTTCTTTGCTGTTTTCTCGCAGGTTTCTCTCTCGAGCTCCCCCTACAGTTTCGGAGTATATATAGTATATGAGAAAACTGTCGTAAACTCGTAACTCCCCCCCCCTCCCCCTCCCATCTCGTTCAGGCCATGTGCATTTGTTTTCAGAGAAGCCGGCGAACAAACGGAGCAGGCGTCATTTACGGGGGGGACGGATGGGACATCTCCCCACCACTTTTTGACAGGGTCGATTTTGTCCCCACCAATTTTGAAACATCTCGCGGCACAGATGTACCAATACAAAAACATCTCCAGTTAACAGCATTCGTTTCATTTGTTTGTTAAATAACAGGCGATCTAGCACTGAAATGTGTCGTCTTCTCTCAGAAACGCGCTTCAATCCGTTGCAGAGATTCTTTCCGGTGAAATCACAAATCAAAATGCACACAAACGTATCCCTTTTTCTCATGGTTTCTAAATTCCTCTCTCGTATATTTTTTCCCACTCATCAAAACATATAAAACCACTGATAAACATTATATCAATTCAACCACTGATAAACTTTATTGGTTTTGATGATGAGGGGGGAAAAAAACTATTCGAGTGCGGAATTCTATCTGGACGGACCATCACATATGCTATCAAGAGCGTATATTTTCTATATACTCTCTCGGACATTGTGCTCATTTTTATTTATGTGCATCAGGAAGCTACAGGACATCGTCTTTCAAAACATGACCTACTCGAAAGAGAAAAAAAGAATGAATGCGTTATTGTACCCAGCACTTTTGAAAATGCCCTTCCGAATGCGTCTCTGTCCCCAGCACATTTCAAACCAAACTGACGCCCGAGCCATGTCCACTGAGGTATGATTCTCAGAACAATATTATTCAAATGTTGAGATAGTGTATATTTTTATTGTGTTACCAAACGTAATCAGTAACATTATGGTTAAAAATCAATACTATAAGAAATATTTCCGCTATTTATTTATTTTTAGTTTAGCCTACAGCTATAGCTACTTATGCATTATTAAAATAAATGTTACGTTATATCTATCATTTTTCTGGTGATCCGAGTTGTCTATCGTAACGATTGACCAAAGAAAGTCAAACACGTTTAATTTGTTTATTACAAGTTTGTTTATTTTATTATTGAAGCTTGAGACCGGTGGTACTGGTGGTCTGGGGTGCCTCGGAGTTGATGACACTTGCCAACGCTTGTAGCTAAAAAGGAAAAAGAACATGTATCAATCTTTTTATCAACATATCATTTATACACAAGGTCAAACTAGCACAGATGGAGTTGCATGTGTGAAGTTGCAATGCAATTTCTCGTTTACTTATAGTTCTGTTTGTGTAAATGTGGGTAAATAAATATAAAAAGTTGCATTATTAGCTAGCAGCTCTCGTGTCGGTTTATGCATTACATATCAAGTCAGCAGCACAGTATCACGTTACTAATTCTGAGGCTGACAACAAGCTAAACTAATGCATAATTTGTAGAATTTCATATCGATTTATAGGCGATCTGAGAAACACAAATAAACCCTGCTAGAGGAACGGACAAAACACTAACTTACAGAAAACAAGCAAGTTTGTTTGCTAATGAAAATGCTAACATCTAAGTTACAGTATCTAACGTACTAGTAAGCCGGTAACAGACAGCGAGCATAATAAAAAAAAAAAAAAAACAGACAATAGCAAACATCCCGACTCCCGAGGTCACAATTACAAGAAATACAAACATTAAACACAGTTTATTATAAAGATACTTACAAGTGCAACAGCAAGAAGGCCAGGTCAGCATCAATTTTGCAGGCTTCGCTTTCTTTCAGTTCTATCTATTCTGAAAAAGCCGGTCCGTTTTCTCTTTCTTTGTTCCTCTGATAAACACTTCCGAGCTTTCTTCTTCTTCTTTTACATTAGCCATCACGAAACTTGAAGAATTCAACATCTAGCGTTACCTTTTTCTTATAGCTAGCCGGCTCCTGGATGGATGGGGGCGTGTACGCATGCGTGTGCGCGTATAGTGCCGTAAAGCAATTCGTTACCTCGCGAGACCTGAAATCTCACGATACTTCCTAACACTGAGGCCGGCGGGCCGCCGGCCTAAAGTTGCAAGGGTGGTTATAGCGGCTCATAGGCACCAGGGGGGTGCGAGACGATCACCATTCAACACGAAATCAGTAATATAAACATTACAATTTAATTTAAGTGAAATTACTGAACTTAAATATACAAGTTTGATAAAAATCATCATTAAAGAAGAAAATTTCAAATGGCATTTAGAGGCTTTTGCATCTGAACTCTTCATATATCACAAGAATACAAATAGGAGCAACACAAGGTAATATGCGACAATGACCGACGAGGACATACTGAACTGAAGGAAACTGAATACAGACACTAATGAACCAAAACCAGGTGATACAGATGATGATGATTACAAGACACAGGTGATGAAAATGAACTAATGACAGTTGGTAAGGAAAGAGATGAGAGGCGGGAAAACAGAACAGGACTAAACCAAAAGACTAGAAAACATGGGGAAACAAAGAGTCAAACTGTTACATTCCTGTTAATCCTGAATGTAAAGAGGTGCAATTTAAAATTCTGAATCATAGCCTACACCCTGCAAAATATTTTTTATGAATTATATTTCATGTTGGGGATACAAATTTATGCAAATTAGAGATAGAAATGGTTGAGCACTTGTTTTTTTAGTACAATTTGGTAAACACATTCTGGAATGATGTGTTCAGCTCGTTGCAACAAAGAATACCTGCAAGGCTACTGTTGTGGGAAATTGTTAAGTTTGGAGTGTTAAGTAAGGATAAAAAGGCATGAAATTGTTGAAATTTTACATGCACAAATGTAAATTTTGCAAAATTCCTCCACGATATTTGTTTTTTGAGGAGGAATTTTGAGTATATTTGGAGACACTGAGAGGGATGAAAAGCCTCAAAGCAGTACTCCTTATTGGGAAAATTTGGTTTTATATTTAAAAAAAAAACTTCCTACTTTATTATTTATTTATGTCCAAAAATAACAAAAACTAAAACTTTATTCAGCATTGTATTTTCATCTGGTTCTGTTGTCAATCCACGTTCACGAGTCCGCAGTGGCGCTCATGACGTAAGACGCTGCTGACGTGTTTTCTGGTTTGTCTGTGTATTCGGGTTTAAATAAATATGGCTGGGTGTTACGTTCCTCCTGATGGCTAATCCAGGGGAAAGGAGGTGCAACAATATTTAAAAATAAACCAGGGCAAAAGAGGACAGGAAGTCGGACTAGAATGCAAACTGAAGTGTATTTATTACAAGACTGACAATAAAAAACCACTTCAAAACTAGTCTCTCAGAAGGAGATAGCAATAAACAGTGTAAGACGACAATAAACAGTATAAGACAACAATAAACAGTGTAAGACAACAATAACCTGACTTAATAACTGCAGTAACAAGATCAAACCCTATATGAACAGCTAGGCAGTCCTCTCTCCACCAAGGAGGCTAAGCCCCAGACATTGTTCTGGACTCACAAGGATCTAACTCAATGATCAACCCACTGGTTGACTGGATTTGTCTCTGTTCTGTTGGTCTGGCTGGTTGATAGTACTTTGCTCACAGACTGGTTGGTTGGTTGGTTGGTTGGTTGGTTGGTTCTCTGCTCACAGAGGTTTCTCTTTGACTGACTGTTTGGTAGTACTCTGCTCATGGACGTTTCTCTTGCCCTTTCAGTGTGCAAACCAAGCCTTCTTATCCTCCAGGAACTGAGCATTCATTGGGAACACCTGCTGCCACACACTCAGTCAGTTGATTAGGCACACCTGCTGGTACTCACTCATGGAACCTAAACATGCAGCCTGAAAGAGAGAAGGAAAAAACACAACCCAACCCAACACATATCCCCTAGGATTGTAACACCCCCTCCCTTAAGACCAAAACCATGGGTTTTGTTAACAAAATCACCATATAATTTCCCCAACACATTTATATTCATCAATGTTGTATCACTTGTGTTGTACTTATACAGATTAAAATAAATCTCACCCACGAGACAGAGCATCAGCAACCACATTTTCTGATCCCTTCTTGTGTTTGATGTTTAGCTGAAACCCTTGAACCATCAGAGCCCAACGCATCAAACGCTGGTTATGATTGTACATCTGATTCAGGAAAACTAGAGGATTGTGGTCAGTATATACAGTCACAGGAGATGGGCTGGAACACACATATACCTCAAAGTGCTGTAATGCGAGTAACATGGCCAACGTCTCTTTCTCAATAGTGGAGTAGTTCAGTTGGTGGCGTTTGAACTTTGTTGAGAAATATTAAACAGGATGATGTACACCATCTTCTCCAACCTGCAACAAGACAGCTCCAGCTCCAGTACCACTTGCATCCACTTCTAGCTGAAAAGGAAGAACAAAATTTGGCGCAGCCAATATCGGAGCACTGCACAGCAGGGACTTAGCAGCGTCAAAGGCATAATCACATTCCTTTGTCCATACAAACGGTATAACTGGGCTACAGAGTTTAGTAAGGGGAGCCACTACCACTGAGAAGTTCTTACAAAAACATCTGTAGTATCCTGTCATACCCAAGAACCGTCGAAGCTCTCGTCTGTTTGTAGGAACGGGATAAGCCAATACTGCAGCCACTTTAGCATCCACCGGCTTGACCTGTCCCTGTCCTACCTGCTTCCCTAGATAGGTGACAGTAGCCCTAGCAAAATCACATTTGGCTAGGTTAAGCGTCAATGCTGCCTTAGCAAGCCGTTCAAACACAATTGTTAAGCTCGCCACATGACTTTCCCAATCATTTGAATAGACCACTATGTCATCTAAATACACATTACACTGGGGTACACCTCCCAACACTATGTTCATGAGCCTTTGGAATGTGGCTGGGGCATTTCTCATGCCAAAAGCCATCACGATGTACTGGAGAAAGTGATCTGGAGTCACAAATGCTGATACATCAGATGCTCTCTCAGTCAACGGGACCTGCCAGTATCCCTTAAGAAGATCCAGCTTGGTGATAAAGTCAGCAGAACCAATGGTATCTATGCAGTCTTCCATACGGGGCAATGGAAACGAGTCTGGGACTGTGACTGCATTAACCTTTCTGAAATCCGTACAGAAACGAGAAGAACCATCTGACTTCGGTGTCAGCAAACATGGCGAACTCCACGAGCTACTGCTAGGTTTCGCTAAACCATTTTCTAACAGGTAAGTAGCCTCTTTTTTCATGAACTCTCTCTTTCCAATAGGACATCTGTAAGCATGCTGCTTGATTGGAATAGCAGAGCCGACATCAATATCATGCTGTAACACATTGGTACGAGAGGGTACATCACTGAAAAGCATGGGAAATGAGTTAAACAAGGCAAGTACGTCTCCCCGCTGAATTTCAGTAAGGTAGGAAAGCTGTGACTCTACGTTAGCCAAGAACTCTGTATTAGATAACCTACCACACTGTTGCCCCTCGGATACCACGGTCAAACCATCATCCCCTTCAGCAGCCATGGACACTCCACAAACCATGGACGCAGAAATGTTGGGAACATCGACTTCCACGCTGCTTTTTAGCTCCCCTTGATTATTCTCCCTGGAACGATGAGCTTTCAACATGTTAATGTGACACAAACGCTTCTTCCTCCTGCGCTCAGGGGTGTGGATGACATAATCGGTTTCTGAGACTTTTCTCTCCACCACATATGGACCTGAGAAGCGAGCAGAAAGAGAAGAACCGGGCACATGTAGTAACACCAACACCTGGTCACCAGGTTGAAACTTACCCAGATAGCAAACTGACATTGAATCAACGTGGAAATATGACATAGAAACAACGTTGATCTGACATTGTTTTGCTCATCAAATTAACGTTGAACCAACGTCAGACGCGTCATTCTTTCAAAACTAATGGAAAATCAACCTGAAATCAACGCGTTGTTTCAACGTTATGACAGGAAACCAATTTTCGATTTTCATTTAGCTTTGAAGAATGCCGCTTCTGACGTTGGTTCAATGTTAATTCGATGAGCAAAATCAATGTTGTTTCAATGTCATGAGAGACGTCGTTTCCACGTTGATTCAATGTCAGTTTGCTGTCTGGGTACGCTCAACAGCGTTTCTGTCGTACTGCTGTTTCATGCGACCCTGAGAGGAGAGAGCTTCCTTAGCCAAGGAAGTGGCACGATGCAAACGTTCCCTACACTGTGAGACAAAATCTACCACATTAGACTTAACGGAGGAACCAGCCACCAACTGCTCCTTCAGCACTTTCAACGGTCCACGCACATTGTGGCCAAACACAAGCTCCGACGGACTGAATGTCAGGGATTCTTGTTTGGCATCCCGTATGGCAAACAATACAAATGGCACACCTTCATCCCAGTCTTTTCCTGTATCATGACAGTATTTTCTCAACATTGACTTTAGAGTTTGGTGCCAACGTTCTAATGCTCCCTGTGACTCTGGATGGTAAGCACTGGATACAGAATGTGACACTCCTAAAGACTGCAGGGACTGTTTAAATGTTCGAGACATGAAGTTGGTTCCCTGATCAGTCTGGACAATCTTGGGCAAACCAAATGTTGTAAAAAACTTAGTCAATGCTTTTGTGATGGCTGGTGCTGTTATTTTCCTCAGAGGGATTGCCTCTGGAAAGCGAGTAGACATGCACATAATAGTCAATAAGAACTGGTTACCAGCTTTTGTTCTTGGTAACGGACCCACACAGTCCACTAAAACATGCTCGAATGGCTCCCCCACTGCAGGAATCGGCCGTAATGGAGCTGGATGGACAATTTGATTGGGTTTTCCTACCAGCTGACATGTACTGCATGTGTTACAAAACTGAGTTACTTGAGATTTCATTCCTGGCCAGAAGAAATGTTTAAGGACACGGTCATAAGTTTTTGTGATGCCTAAATGCCTAGACCATGGGTGTTCATGAGCTAATTCTAGCACATACCTACGCCAACCAACCGGAACTACTATCTGATAAACTATGTTGAAAACTTCACCCATCTTATCAGTTGCTGTACCTGTATGCGAAGACCACTTTCGCATCAACACTCCGTTTTCCACCAGAAAACACTGACCTTTTCTACACTCACTCGGGTCAGCAACAACTATGGCAAAACATTTCGCCAGTGAGGGGTCACTCTTCTGTGCACCAATGAGTCCTTCACGCGTCAACATCAATGATACCTCAGGAGTGGGAAGAGTCTCTGGCACTACTTCGCACTAGAGGTCTTCACGGGTCCAAAAAATCATGCCCGAACCCGAGGAGACCCGTAATGTGCTACACCGAACCGACCCGGACCCGTCGTTCATTTCAAAAGTTGGACCCGCACCCGTGCAGACCCGAGAAATGCCATAAATGTACTGCCCGGACCCGACCTGGACCCGTCTATTATTTGAAAACTGCACCCGAACCCGACGGGAAGACACAAACCCGACTGGACCCGATTGTCACATTATTTCACACAAGTTGCGAAAATTAAAACTTCTTGTCTTACCTAATTTTAGTAGTCGTCGTCTCACTTCCTTGTAACGTTACCTGACTGACTGTGATGCATTACAGTCCACCGACAAGAAAGTTCTATCCATGTTATTTCTCTCGTTATTCCAAGCTTAATCCACTCATTATTTCAGCTTTAAAAGTCCACTTGATGTCACGGTGATGGATGACAAATGCAACTTTGCACATGTGCATTCTGACTCGAGTTAACTCGCTCACATAATAACTGACTTAACCGTTTGTCCTTTTGAATTAACTTATAATAACAATTGCTCGTTCAGTGCCGGGCCGCAGACGTTATTTATTTGCTATCATGTGTGCTGATCTCGCTGGAAGCTCCGGTTGCCAAAGAAACATGACATGCGAAAAACTAGAGACTGCACATGCGCGCTAGCTGGATCAGCCTAAAATTTTTGTTTTTTGTTTGTTTGTTTTTTTAACGAATTTGAGAGTCATAGAAAACATTTATGTGACAATTCACCTCAGATTTTGCTTCTGATTTGAAATATATTTAAAGGAGCTAAACGCAAGTCTCTGAGTTTTTGCAGAACTACGCCCCCTCTGGCGACAAGCGAAACTGCAACCAGAGCTGTGCGCGTTCATGGAGGAACACACACACACACATATACGCACGTTTGCACGAGCTGTTCATAACTAAGGAGCATCAGCCGCACACTGTGCGGCACACATCTTTTGTTACAGTCATAATGAGGTAATACAGTAATAAATCTGCAAGTCATTTAAAATATATGAAAGGAAAGGCATTCGAGTAAATTACACACTTGTGTGAGAGGGGGAAACGGGGGTAGTAGAAAACTTCGGTTTTTGTTTCCATCTATCTCCCTGTGCATACTGTATCCACTTATGATTGAATTATTATGGAAACACGTTCAGTTATCACTTTGTATAGGCTATGACCCGTTTGAGCCCTAGAGACGACCGGAGATCTCTCCGTTTGTTGAAAGCTTCCCGATGTTGACTCTCGTCTTATTCCGACGGCTGGCACTGGACAGACAGAAGTTTTATTTTCTGTCTCACGTGGAGTTTGCGTTGGGGTTTGTAATGAGCTACAAGCCGGTCTCTTTCCGCGCCATATACAGATTTAATGAAGTGCACGTCACCGAAAGCAACAGATATGAGCTGGATTTTATTAATCATCGGCTAATTTCAAAATCAGCAAAGACAGCAATAAGAGAGATCGGCAACAGAACTGGTAAGATCATTTCATTTCTTTACTTTTAATGAAGATGGTAGTGTTAAGCGTCTGCGACTTACTTTAACTAATTCACTTTGATTTGCGATAGATTGCGGCGCTTGATGAAGGGGCTCAGCTCAGCTGCTCAGGTGATGCGCGTCGTCATATATGACTAATATCATGACATATAGCTTGGTTTCAACAACCAGATGCATTTACACTTGTCCAGTTTCGTCTGGAATACGGCACAGACCACGTCCTCAAGTGGTTTGAGCGATCGAATTCAAATCCGTCTCGAATGCGTTTCGGAGGGCATTTACACCCTGGTCTTTTCACGATCGAATAGCTATCCGATCACAGAAGACACATGAAGTGACCAGGTGTAAACAGCCCCTTTGAATCCATCGTCTACTTTTGTGGAAAGCTGACTAGAGTTGTGTCGCTCGAGTTGTCTTCTCTGATACGGAGAACGGCGGCGAATAGCTACACGAACCTGCCAGACATAGCCAGGCGAGCGTGAACGCGCATGACGTCACGCCCAGTCTCAGATTCGAGCCCGAATCCCTCTTATATATTTCACTGTACAGGGTTATAGAGGCGATCGCAGTGATCAAAGAATGGCTCATTCAGCCCATCAGGCGATTGTTTAAGCATGTATGGGTTAGAAAACGGCTATTTTTAACATGAAAAGTTGCGCAATGCACCTTTAAATATGAGTGTGTCAACACAAAGTCTGCAAGCATTTTTGAATTTTGAACTATTTACTGTATGTCACATAATAGGAACACGAACTCAAAATGACAGTGACACTTATACATAGTAGCCTACCTACATAACAATAATTACTACCAAGAAAAACATAAAATAAAATATAGAAATCAAATAAACTTAAATATAGAAAATAAAGATCTGTTTCCTCACTGCACACAAATGGCAACAAACCATTTAATGATGGCTATCTGACTTAATTAAACAAACATAAAACATCTTGAAGTGTGCATTCTGTGCAATCAACTGCATTCAGTTACATTTGCTTGCAAGTATATAATTATATATATTCAACATAAATGTTCTTGAAGCCTTGCCCTAAAAAAAATATGAATGAAAATGAATATGAAATGCTATGCAGTGCAGTGCAGTGCAAAAACAACAACAACAAAAAAACATCAGCTCTCTAAGCTGTGTGTGTCTTCATCTTTAATAAAGTGGTGCTTACTAGGGCTGCTTTAATTTTCATGTTTGGCCTACATGTTGCTATTCAGAAACAGCAAAGCATTTACACTAGCAGTGCTGAGGCAGGTCCGACGGTTCTCCAATGTGCGACCAGAGATGCTGAAGGCTGACTCACACTAGATGCAGGCAAGTATTTTTCTTGCCAGTTGTGCCATTGATGGAAACATATTTTGATTGTGTTTCCAAAAACTAAGAATGTCTCTGTCATTTTCCATTGTGGGCTTGTGCTTCAAATATTGTTCTAGCTCATTAACCCCTGAATCCAGTTCAGCATCCTCAATGTCAGCCCACTGACTAAACTTTTGCTCTGGTCCTGCTGGTGCTGGCCCAGCCATCTCATCTTCCTCTTCCTCTTGCATCTGCTGGGCATTCACCTCAGTTGTAGCTCTTTTAGGGAAGCTGGCCAACTCTCCACGTGCACTTTCATATATTTCCTCCCTCTCTTCTGTGGTGAACATCCGAAGCTGCTTGAATTTCGGCCAGAGCAGCACGGCAAGCTTTTCATGGTGTCCCAAAACTATGCGTTCAGCCAAAAGACCCAAGCACCTATTAAATAGAATAGAATGTATTTAGTTGAATAATCCATTAAAAAAACACTTAATTAGGTCTAACTATAGCAAATTAAATGGATAATATTATTTTTATATTTATTTTTTTATAGAGCACATGTACTTACTACAAATGCAGGCAATCTGAAGAGAAGAGTAATTATTAGACACTTACCTGTGTTTCAGTATCCTGAGCGGTGCTGGTTCAGCTTGGGACTGTGAGATTTGGCAGTGGGTCATCAGCGTGGTTTTCCAGAGGGCCACTAAGTTGATTGTACAATATTTTGAGCCACTGAGTTCTTCAGTTGCCTGCTTAAAAGGCTGCAGGAATTGGACAAGCATCTGAAGAATGTCTTTCGATATGTGACTCATGCGATGCATCTCTCCTCGTCCAAGCAGAATGGACAATGTCTTCAAATAAATTAAGCACAGATTTGACCATCTCGAGTTTAGTATTCCATCTTGTTTCACATTCTTGTTTCAAAGACTGCTTAAGTTGAAGTTGTAATCCAGAATGTTTAAAAAATGTTGTCAGGGTCTTGCATTGCTCAATGCAACTTCTTACTTCTTGCAGTTCTTCCTCATCTCCATCATGCTCTTCATCACCTTCCTTAGACTTCTTAAAGGTGTGCTTCAGCACAGTATTCAGTACGTGTGCTATACAGCTTTTGTGCACCCATCGGGAGAGCGCTGCCTGCACATTTGCTCCTTGGTCACTGACAAACACAAGTCTGTCGATCTCATCTGGCAATAGACCAAATTCACCTAATTGCTTGAGCAGTTCTGTCTTCAGGTTTAAAGCCGTTTTCTTTGCCCCTGATGGAAATGCACATGTACATATGATCCTGGTATTAAATTCCCAGGCATCGTCTATATAATGCAGTGTAATGCAGGTGTAACTGACCTTCCGATGGTCATCTGTCCACATATCTGTGGATGCACCGCATGCCAGTCCTTCAGCTATGGCTTTCCTAACTGTTGGCAGAAGCTCTGTTCTGAGACTTTCATATTTCTTCTGTGTGAAACGAGACACCGTCACACCAGATAGAAGTAACTCCTTCACGTTACACCAGCCATGTGTTGCTCCCGTGTCTAATAATGTCTGTGCTAATTCGGTGAACGCGGGTGTTTCAAACATGCTAAAGGCCCTTAAATCCTTTGCGCAGACTTTAGTGCATTTTTCCAAAATCGCATCCTTTGCTTTTTTTGGAACTACACCCATCCTAAGAAACGGCGCCACTGAAGTTTTTTGGGTCAAAACATTTTTACCACACGACCTGGTGTGCTTTAAAAGATGTGATGTGCCAGTTTTTGCTGAATCAAACTTCAACAGTGCGTCACACGTATTACACTTAACTGCACTTACTTTTTTCTCATCTTTGTCTACAATTTGCATGAAGGATGCCCAGACAGAAGAGGAGCCCGTAGGTTTTACCTCTTTGTACTCACTGTTTTTTTAGCTTTTTTCGCACATCACTGATGAAGGTATCCATTATTACCGTGCGCAGTGCCCTGGCTTGCATTAACTCTCTCTGACTGAGTCTGGGCGCGGCCGCGGGCGCTCTGCTTCTAACGGCAGAGAGAGAGAGCGAGAGAGAGAGCGAGAGAGAGATCGCTTTTTTTTATTTCTCTTTTCTTTACCTACTTTTAAAAGTTGCAAAAAAACACAAGCAGTGCTGCTGACTGACTCATTCTGGCTCTGATCGAGTCAGACTCCGATCGCACGGGTATTGCACACAATGTTAAACAGACCCGGGACCCGAAGCAATAAATTCGGACCCGACCCGGACCCGGCTGATCATTTAAATTGTAGACCCGAACCCGTACGGGTCCCGGGTCGGGTCCCGGGTGCACTGTGAAGACCTCTACTTCGCACACCTCTGCTGATTCTCAACAATCGATCATCCTGTCCTCAGAAAAAACAGAAGGGAACATGGAGTCAGACAAATTTACCTCCTGATCTTTTTTCTGAGATTGAGCTCTAGTCAACACACTGACAGAGCACAATGTTGGATGTTTTTGAACTAACTCATCTGGTTCACTCTCAGAAATGGGTACATCCACAACTTCAGGATCAGCGTACACTTTACCTCCTGCAATGTCATTACCCATGATGAATTGCACTCCATCAACAGGAAAACATGACCTTACAGCTACAGGGAACCAACCAGAAACAAGCTTAGATTTAATGTGAATGCGATGAAGTGGGGCTGGGACATAGCACATACCAATACCTCAGACAACTGTACTAACATCACAGGCTGACTTAGCATCTAGAGGCAAAACACTAGAAAGAATAAAAGACCGTGAACCACCTGTGTCACGTAGTATGGTGACCTGATGCTGATCTTCATCCTGCCCTGTGAGTGATACAGAACCAGAAAGGATGAACGGTTTAAAACATTCATCTGGCTCTTGCAAAGAGGTAGGCTCTCCCACAGAAGTGACTGTTTTAATTAATCCAACTCCCTTCGGCTGCTTTTGTGTTAAACCCTGCTGCTTTTGTTTCATAGTTATACAATCTGCTATGAGGTGACCAGTTTTATGACAGAAAAAACACAGTCTATCAGTTTTAGGACTTGAAGTTGGGTTAGTTAAACCAACTCGAGGTACCGGTCTATCACTAGACTTCTTGTTCACATTATGATGTGGGGGAGAGACAGAAGAAGACACCAGTTTACGGAAGAAACCCTTATGTGTTAAAGCAAACTCGTCAGCTAGCAGAGCTGCTTGCTGCAGGGTAGCCACTTTCTGTTCGTTCAAGTAAACGACAATCCTCTCAGGCACACAGTAAATGAACTCCTCCAACAACATCAACTCACGTAAGGAAGAAAAGTCTTCAGCTTTACAAGCCGCACACCAGCGATCAAATAAAATTACCGTTTCCCTAACAAAGTCTGCATATGTCTGGCTAACAGCTTTACAAAGACCCCTGAACCGCTGTCTATACGCCTCAGGCACTAGCTCATAGACCCGCAAAACTGCGCTTTTCACTTTATCAAAACACAAACTGTCTTCCACTGACAATGCAGCACAAGCCTCCTGAGCCTTGCCAGTTAACTTGCACTGAAGCAAAATGGCCCAAACGTCCTTTGGCCAATGAAGAGCTACTGCAATTCGTTCAAAAGCGCTAAAGTAGCTTTCTACTTCTGATTCTCTGAACGCAGGCACCAGTGCTATGTTTTTACTTACATCAAAAGTATTGTTGGATGACGGCCGAGTCTCAGGAGGAACTGATCTGGGCACGGTAGCATTAGCTTGTAGCTCAAGCTCACGCATCTTGAGAGTGGTTTCCAGCTCCAAGCGTTTCAACTCTAACTCTTCTACGCAGCTGGAACTCCCGCTCCCGCTCCTCCTTGTCCACCTGCAAGAGAGCTAATCGAACCTTCAGTCGGGCGTCATCTCGTGGCGAGGAAGAGGACTCTACAGAGTGTGGTACAAAACGAGGCAAAGTAAAATGTTGCCGTTCAACCTCACCCTGCTTCCCTTTGGGCGTGACAACATTAGCCTGCTCTGACTTGTCTGTTACCACATGGCCACCTGAGGAGATCTCCCCTACACCCAAACTAAGAATTCCCTTCTGCACTAATCCACTCACCACAGCCTCCTTCATCTCACTTTTTGCTAGAGTACTACTGACAGGAATACTAAAGTGAGTAGCAACAAAACATAAATCAACTTTCCTACATAAGTCAAGCTGATTTAATCTGGGATTCGATAAAAACTCTTCCCGGTTAAAGACAGCCATGCTAGCCACCCACCAGCACACTAGGCTACCCACTAACCCAGCCCAAATGCAGCAGTAACACACCTTTACAATACTCACTATCCAGCGCTTTGTGCAACACCACCACTTCCCCAGAGCCTGCCTATCAATTCTTCACCTATTCTATCTTCTGGAGCGTGCCGGGCTCGGGGCGACTTTAAAGGCAGTAACTTCGGTGGCCGAAATCCCGAAACACCTACCCCCACCAGGGAATTTAATCCCCACCCAGGATTACTCCGAACATAAAAAAGGCAAAATAATAAATGGTGTCCAAAGGAAGAACTGTGACAGTTCAGCTGAACACCTCTAGTCTAAACTAGGGAAGTTGGAAACGTGTTCACAACACTGGAGAATGACAACCACACAATACCAACCAACACAATAAATCTGACTTCCAGTCTCCTTTAGATCTGGGATGAGCCCCCAAATTGTTACGTTTCTCCTGATGGCTAATCCAGGGGAAAGGAGGTGCAACAATATTTAAAAATAAACCAGGGCAAAAGAGGACAGGAAGTCGGACTAGAATGCAAACTGAAGTGTATTTATTACAAGACTGACAATAAAAACCCACTTCAAAACTAGTCTCTCAGAAGGAGATAGCAATAAACAGTGTAAGACGACAATAAACAGTATAAGACAACAATAAACAGTGTAAGACAACAATAACCTGACTTAATAACTGCAGTAACCAGATCAAACCCTATATGAACAGCTAGGCAGTCCTCTCTCCACCAAGGAGGCTAAGCCCCAGACATCGTTCTGGACTCACAAGGATCTAACTCAATGATCAACCCACTGGTTGACTGGATTTGTCTCTGTTCTGTTGGTCTGGCTGGTTGATAGTACTTTGCTCACAGACTGACTGACTGACTGACTGGTTGGTTGGTTGGTTGGTTGGTTGGTTGGTTGGTTGGTTGGTTGGTTGGTTGGTTGGTTCTCTGCTCACAGAGGTTTCTCTTTGACTGACTGGTTGGTAGTACTCTGCTCACGGACGTTTCTCTTGCCCTTTCAGTGTGCAAACCAAGCCTTCTTATCCTCCAGGAACTGAGCATTCATTGGGAACACCTGCTGCCACACACTCAGTCAGTTGATTAGGCACACCTGCTGGTACTCACTCATGGAACCTAAACATGCAGCCTGAAAGAGAATAGGAAAAAACACAACCCAACCCAACACATATCCCCTAGGATTGTAACACTGGGCAAAAAAAAAAGTCTTCCTCTGTGTCGAAATCCTTAGACATGTTTGAGAAATTTCTTTTGTTTACAGTGTGCGTCTCCGTCAGACTGTAAACGAAGCTCGGGTGCACCAGATAACACGTCAGCAGTTCAGAACTGTTTCTGAAACCGATAACAAGACCACTTGTTACAACAGTAACAGTCAAAGAAATTGTAAATAAATAATAATATGTGTAAAAACTTTATAATTGATCTTATATCAATTATAAATACAAATACTTGATGAATACAAAATAATTCTAAACAACAAATAAAATATCAGCATGGTTAATAAAAATACATTTAAGATTATGCTAAAAATTTAATTAATTAAAATTATGTGATTTTTTTTACCATCATTCATTAAAAAGTGTTATATCACCGTTATTAGGCACATAGAAGTCATATATCATTAAAATGCAAGATTAACCTGGAACACCATGTTTTATTTTAATTAAACAACATGCAATACCAATATTTATAATTAAATTATTCACTTTCTCTTAATTCATTAAAACACATAATACTGCATCATATTCATATGCAGTTATAATAGACACAGTCATTACAATTCAAATCTTATCATAACTGGCAAAACTTGAAAGAAAGAAAACATCTGTATTTTTTACTTTCTTTAGTTTAGACAATATATAATATCACTCAATATTGTTATTAAATACTGTGGTAATGCCGCAAATGAGTCATACCTTTCGCGGCATTTCCTTCTCTTATAAAATAACCTTTTTATCATTGTAAAATCTAAATAGTTCCCAACAAAAGTATTGTTTAGCGTAAAACATGTTAAATAATATATATATATATATATATATATATATATATATATAAAGATATATATATATATATATATATATAGCTGCGATCAGCGATGACGGGCCCAAGCCGGTGGCACCACCACCCTGCCGCCAGCTTTGGCCCTTCATCGCTGCTCGCAACTATATTTATATATATATATATACACTCACCTAAAGGATTATTAGGAACACCTGTTCAATTTCTCATGAATGCAATTATCTAATCAACCAATCACATGGCAGTTGCTTCAATGTATTTAGGGCTGTGGTCCTGGTAAAGACAATCTTCTGATCTCCAAACTGAATGTCAGAATGCGAAAGAAAGGTGATTCAATTTTGATTT